AATTCTAGTTTGCCCCAGTGACAAATGTACAAATCAGCTACCTTCAAACAGCATTCATCATCTGAGCACATACATCTATTGTGATTCTACTCATGATTCTCAGCCAAGCAGTCAGTTATACACACATATGCATTTTTAACATGCGTCTTTGTGGGTCCTACTCACACACATGGGTTTTTAACTCCTGTCCTTGTGGGAGCCTCCTGTGTGGATCTAAGGTTTTGTCTGTGTTTTTTTACATTTTTGTTTCAGCAATGGTCATTCACCAGTTAAAACAAACTGGACAGAAATTTCATATATTTGCCTACAAAATAGCTAATAGCAAATGTAGTTTAACATTAATTGTCTACATTAGGTTGACTTACATTTTTGTGCAAAAGCTGCTCTTTTCATCCCTTATTTCTCATCAATTTTTTCCCATTTAGCTGACAATTTTCAAAGGAGTTTCCCTGGTGGACTACTCGGACAGTGATGATGGTGACGATGATTCCAAAAACGACAATTCTGAAAATCTACAAAATGGTGATATTCAACAGAAAAGCAAAATGGTAAAAATTAAAGTAATTCTGAAATAATTTATATGTTTAAAAAGATCTTAGGATTTGAATAGTATTTCACATTTAATAAATAACGTTGCTAATTATTTTTTTTCTTTCTGGTATTCTTTCTTCCCAAAAGATAATGCATTTTACTTAATTACATTCCAAGCTGTGCTTTTTTTAATCATTTTCTCTTTAACATAATTTTCTTTTTATTTAAAATGTTTTAGGATTTAATAATTTTACCTTGATTTAACCTTTTGCAGATGAATAAAGTACCAAGTTTTTCGGATCCTCTTTACGATTCAAGTGATGACACTATGGGAAACCCTTCAACATCATCTGAAATGGATTCACAACGCCAGAGAAGAGGATTTCGTTTTTCTGTAAGCCTCATCATTCACTTTCAAACATAGTATATTGCCAAAGCAATTATCTAAACATTTATGTTTTAAAATATCTATTGTCATTGTTTTGTTTTCTTCTATTTATAAATTAGTAAATTACTGTAATCTAACCACGCTTCAGCACCTCTGGTGCAACAAGATTGATTTTAACTGATGTAGTATGAAATTTAGGAGCTGCTAATTTAATCTCAAAACAGATTTATGAAGCCAAAATATTGAAGTTACTGCAAGACAATATTTTACCAATACTTGGATGCATACATTGACTGGCCAAAAAAAGTCTCCACCAAACAAAAAGGTCAAACACTAATATTTCATTGGACCGCCTTTAGCTTTGCTTACGGCATGCATTTGCTGTGGCATTGTTTCAACAAGTTGCTGTAATATCACAATTGAATTCAATTCAAAAATACTTTATTAATCCCAAAGGGAAATTAAGTGTTGTCATAGCTCATCATCCTGGTTTCATTCAAGAGTTGTTATAGATGCTGATAGCTGTGGGCAGGAAGTATGTCCTGCATCGAATCTGAAGAATCTGGCCATCACCTTGAGCAGCGCCATTCTAGAACATCTATTTCCATCCAGTGTTGCATTAATTTTTCACCAAGATCTTGCATTGATGACGAGGCACTAGGCATGATGGGTGCATCACACAACCTGCCTTTCTTCTTACCCTGATGCGCCCACCTCTCTGGAACAGGGTAAATCTGGACTCGTCAGTCCACATTACCTTCTTCCATTGCTCCAGAGTCCAGTCTTTATGCTCCCTAGCAAACTGAAGCCTTTTTCTGTTTAGCCTCACTGATTAGTGGTTTTCTTATGGCTACACAGCTTTTCAGTCCAAATTCCTTGAGTTCCCTTTGCACTGTGCGTGTGGAAATTACCTTACTTTCACTATTGAACAAAGCCCTGAGTGCTACTGTTGTTTTTCTTCAATTTGATTTAACCAAACGTCTAAGTGATCACCTGTCATGATCATTCAGGATTTTTTTCCGACCACAGTTCTTCCTCGAAGACGATGGGTCCCCACTATCCTTCCAGTTTTTAATAATGCGTTGGACAGTTCTTAACCCAATTAGTAGTTTCTGCAATCTCCTTAGATGTTTTCTCTGCTTGATGCAGGCCAGTGATTTGAACCTTTTCAAACAGACTGACATCTTTTTCACAACCACGCAAATTTTCTTTCAACATGGTTGTTTAAGAAACAAGAAGCAATTTATTGCACCAGTTGGGGTTAAACAACTTGTTGCCAGCTGCCATGACCATGCGGTAATTATCCAGTAGGAGGCTCGTACCTATTTGCTTAGTTAAATCCAGGTGGTGACTATTTTTGTTTGGCCAGGCAGTGTATAAATAGAATACAAGTTGTTGGACTGCCTGTTTCTTAGCGGAGTGAGCACATCTGCTATAAAATATTACCACAAAAACATGCAAACAAAATTTGGATTGTGATATTTAGGGGTAGACCGATAAATCGGCCAGCCGGTTTATTGGCCCCGATTTTCTTAATTTTGGGAAATCGGAGATCGGCCAATCCTTACATGATAAACCGATTTTTACCGATTTTTTTGTAGTTGTAACAATTGTCTAAACTTCATTTATATTTCAGAGCTCTACCTCATTGCCAGTTAATATACATTTTTTTGAGATGCATGTCAAGCTTACTGTTCTTTATATTATTGTTTGGTTGACATATTTTTTGATGTGCCTAAATGTTAGGGATATTTTTTGTCTTTTACTATGGATTTAGATTTTTGTAAATAAGGGCAGCACGGTGGCACAACTGGTAGAGCTGCTGCCTCTCAGCGCAAAGGTTCCCGGTTCAAATCCCGGTCCGGGAGCCTTTCTGGGTGGAGTTTGCATGTTCTCTCCGTGCATGCGTGGGTTTTCTCCGGGTACTCCGGTTTCCTCCCACAGACCAAAAACATGCATGTTAGGCTGATTGGTAACTCTAAATTGTCCCTAGGTGTGAGTGAGAGAGTGAATGGTTGTTTGTCTCATTTGTCTCTATGTGTCCCTGTGATGGACTTGCGACCTGTCCAGGGAGTACCCCGCCCCTCGCACTGTGATTGCTGGATATGGGCACCGGCGACCCCCCTTACCCAAAATGGAAGAAGCGTGTAAAAGATAATGGATTTCCCTAACAATGCTTCTTACTGTATCTGTTGGGATTCTAAATTTACTAGAAACAAAAGCACTTTAAATTTGACAACACTTTCCTTTTGAGACAGTTTTGTTAAGTGAACTTTAAATTAAGGCCTGGATAATTTTTTAATAATTGCTAATAGTTATAAGAAGAAATGCTAACCTATTCCTTTTCTTTTCCCCCCCAAACGATTTAGAGTTTTGAAGGGTTAGAAGAGGCAAGTGAAGATAGTGAAGACGACTATGTTCCAGAGACCAGTGGGGAAAGCACAGACAGTGAGGCCAGCTTGGAATTATCTCTAGACAACGGGCAAAAGAAAAAAACTATGTCTACGATAAGCAAGTTTTGCATTCAGGATGAGAGTGTGTCTAGTCAGAGTAGAAGCTTTGATAAGGATGATTCCAAAGTCACTACAAGTGAAGATGAAAGGGCTCCCTTGGAAGAAGAACCTGTTCATGTTGTTCCTGTTTCAAAGAAGGAAGATGGTTCCAGAAGATATAACAAGAAACATCACTGCTTGTATTGTGGTGTAATTGTACAAAAAATGTCAAGACATTTGCTACGTAAACACATGGATAAAGCTGATGTTGCAAAAGCTTTTAGTTTGGGAAAGAACTCAAAACAAAGACGACTTCAGTTGGATTATCTACGAAATAAGGGAAACTTTGAGCACAACACTGAAATTTTGGAAAGTAAAAAAGGCAAACTCATCCCATGGAAACAACCAAAGGAGAAAACAAAAGGACAAACATTTGCACATTGTTTGTACTGCTATGGACTATTCAAAAAAAAGGCAATGTGGCGGCACTTGAACTCCTGCAATTTCCAGCCTCAAGATAAGCCTTCTAAAAAGGGTAGAAGAAGAGTTCAAGCATTGTGTGCGTTTGCTGAACCAGTTCCACCAGGGTTCAGTGATGCCTACTGGAAGTTCCTCAGTGATATGAATCAAGATAAGATTACAGTTGCAATTAAGGAGGACCATTGCATACTAGAGTATGGCTACAGATTGTTCTACAAGAATGAGAAGGTAGTCAGCCAGCATCAGCACATCCGTCAAAAGCTGAGAGAGCTTGGAAGACTGCTACTGGAAGCCAAAAGCATTGCCCCTGTGAAGAGTGTTAAAGATCTTGTAAAGCCTGAAAAGTACATTCAGTTAGTCACTGCTGCAAGACAACTTGCTGGATTTAATAATGAAAATGGAAAGTATCAACGGCCATCTCTTGCTCGAAAAATTGGTCACAACATGCATTCTTTAGCTATGTTTATTAAGACTGAAGGATTGAAGATGAAAGATAAACAAATTGTCCAAGATGCAGATGAATTTGTACAACTGTATCAAGAAAGTTGGAAATATGACATTGCTAGCCAAGCTTTAACCCAGCTTCAACAGAAAAAGTGGAATGCTCCTCTACTATTACCTTTCACACATGATGTCCAGATTCTTCACAGCCATTTGTTGGAGAAACAGCAGCAATTTTTAAATGCCTTGAAAGAAAAGCCTTCACCATCAAAATGGAAGGATCTTGCCAAAGTGACCCTCACACAAGTGATCCTTTTCAACCGCCGGCGAGCTGGGGAGGTTTCCAGGATGCCTTTGTCTGTTTATTTATCAAAAGATGCATCAGAAACACATGAAGATGTTAACTTGGCCCTCACAGCACTTGAGCAAAAGCTTTGCAGCTATTTTGTCCGAATAAGCATAGTGGGAAAGAGAGGAAGGAAAGTTCCTGTTCTACTGAGTCCACTCATGAAGGAATCATTAGATGCTCTCACTGAAACTCGTCAAGTATGTGGAGTTCTGAAAGAAAATGAATACCTGTTTGCATTGCCGTATTCTGTCCATTACCTTAGAGGTTCAGACTGTATAAGGCAGTTTGTGAGTGAATGCAATGAGATAAAAAACCCTGCAGCACTTACGTCAACCAAGCTCAGGAAACACATTGCTACATTGTCAACTGTTTTGAATCTCAAAACCACAGAACTTGACCAGTTAGCCGATTTCCTTGGGCATAACATTGCAGTTCACAGAAAGCACTACCGCCTTCCAGAGGGTACCCTGCAGTTAGCAAAAGTAAGCAAAGTTCTCCTGGCGTTGGAGCAGGGGCGCCTAGGAGAGTATAAAGGGAAGAGTCTGGATGAAATCTACCTTGATGTCAATGGTATTAAAATTTAAGACTTTTTTGGTAAAGAAAAATAGATGTTTTAACCTTGTTGTTGAAGAGTAGATTTATGAAGTTGTGTTATTTTTGGAAGAGGATCTGTTTGATAGTAGATGTACAAACAAAATATTAGATGTAGAAAGTAAGAGATTTAGCTATTTCATAAATAAAAATGACCTTATTCAAATTTTGATTGCAGCAGCACAAGTAAAAGAAGGTTGAAACATGTCTTTATGCACATTGTATTTTCCCAACTTTGTGATCTGCAGTTCATTTTACTTATTGAGCTTTTCAAATGTATTTCATTATCATTTTAGAGACTCTAGACATGCGTGGGATTTCACAAGAGAAAGGTATTTATTTCTCATTTTCTATAAACGTTTGAGTGATCTCAGTAGTTTTGAATACATTAGATGATTGTATGTTAATTTTGAGTTATTAAAAATTTCGTTCTGTTAAAAATGCCCAAGATGGAACTGTTGATGTATGCAGAATTCAAGCCATAATTATATTTAGGCTTGGTCATGGAAATCAGTACAAAGGATAAGCTTGCTGTCTACTGGTACTTCTACAGAAATATTGAGATATATTGAAATGTGTTGATGTTTAGAAAAATTCAATATTTTTTGTCACGCATTTCCAAAAGTAAAACACATATATTTTATAGGTTTTACTATTTCAAGCTTTTATTTTTATATATTTTTCATCATTTTGGCTTATAGATCACAAAAACCCAAATTTCAGTGTCTCAGAAAATTAGAATTCGTTCATTAATTCAATCCACCTTTATTTATTAACCTGTCTAAATAAAGGTTGAATAAAATTATACAGGTTAGTCTCATTGAGTAACAAGGATTCATTTTCAAGAGAGATCTGTTTTAAACCTAAAAACACAGATGAGGTACACACAACAATAAAGTCATAAAATACATATAAAATGAAAGTAAATACAAGTAGTGATATAAAACAAAAATAATAAGCTACATTATGAAACGGGGTAAAATACTAAAATGAAGAACGTGTCAGCCTTGATTTTTGCATTGAATGTAACAGTAGTTTAAAATTCCTTAGAGGTCAAAGTTGACTACTTCAAATCTTTTTGCAAAGTATTCAAAGTTACTGGAGCAGGGTAAGTCTGTCCTGTTGCTGGTGCACAGTTTTCTACCACACTTTTTTATTCCTTCAGATACAAATACAGACCTGAGCAACCAGTTTCTTTGAGAATGACCTTTTGTGACTTGTCTTCATGGAGAATCAGTGGTTGTCTTCTGGACGTCTGTCAAGTTAGCAGTCTTCCCCATTGTTGTGTGGGCCATATGACAGTTACATAACATTCATACATAAAATGTTTTATTTGGTGTTATGTAATATTCTAATTCTTTTGAGACACTAAATTTCAAGTTTTCTTCATCTATAAATCATACTCGTCAAAATTAAACAAAAAAAATTTAAATATTTCACTGTCTAATAAATATATACTATAAGATTCACTTTCTGAAATAAGTGATAAAAATTCTCAACTTTTCACTATATTCTAATTTTTTTAGATGTTGCCTGTATGTGACCCTTTGTTCCCCCCTCTTCTTAAAATACATGTTGTTCAAAGTCATTTCCAGTCTCTTCACAAAATCCACAACCAGCTGTCATTCTGCATTCCCCTCTTTTACACCATACCTACTCAGCACCTGTTTCACGTTCACCTATTTCCTTCACAAACATGTCCAATAATATCTGCTCCTATCACAACTTTCTCACATCTGGGAACATATTCTACCACCTCATCAAATTTGATCTGGAAATCATCTTTCTCTTCCAAGTGACTTCCAACTTGTGGTGCATATGTACTGACCACATTCAACAACACACCCTCAATATCTAGCTTCAAGATAATTATCCTATCTGAAACTATAGCCATGTCCAAAACACTCTTCATAAACTGTTTTTTCAAGATTATGCTTACTCTATTTCTCTATCTATACCATAGTAAAACAGTTTGAAACAACCTCAGGCTCATTGACTTGCTTCCCCTCCAACTGGTTTCCTGTACACATAGTCAGTCCTTTGAATGAAAGGACAATGATGGGTAAAGGCAGAGAGCTATTCTAACTACTGCTTTTCCTATTTTCTTGCTTCCCTCTAAAATGCTTTTCTGTACTCCTTCTCACTGGTTGTCAACCAACAGTGGCCCAATTTACTTCAGCACAATGTTGGCCAACATAACTGAAAACAGTCATTAACCTGGGCTTCTACTGAACTGTTATGACATTCATTTTGGTGAGCTGCATATTTATTTTAGGGTTTTGGAACATATGCACAGATGGATTTGATTCAAAGTCATCCAATATTTTCTTTAAAGCCTCCAACTGTACCTTGTCATGAAGTTTGAATCTCTGCAGTTTGTTCCTGGTAAAAGGAATGTACACGAACACTTTTACTTGTACATACTGCAAACACCCTGAAGCTGGGAAATGTAACAAATTCCTTGACATTTGTTTGGTTTTCATATACTAAGCTTTGAGGTTCAGAGCTATTTGTAGCACTTTGCCACCCTAGTATGGTAGCTTTTGTGATGCAGACATGTCAGTTGCCAAATGAAGGGCTACTCTATTGGCAAACATTTTTAGGAAAATACAATTCTCATACAACACTGCCATGGTTGTTGATTTTTATTTTCCTCTTTAGGTAATATATATTTTTAAATCATATCACAGTCTCATTCAGCACTGTGACAAGTTGCTCCTTAATACAATAAAAAATGCCATACACATTGTGGCAACCACTGAAACCCCCGCTAAACCCTATAACTCCTGATTTCTTGTAACACTGATTCTAGATATGGATGCAAGCAATTGTCAATTATAAATAATTTATTTGTATTGTAATGTTCAATATTCCATTTAAAAAATAAAATTTATTTTATGTACATAGATAATGTTATGCCTGAGGAACAGGAGACAGATGAGGAGGGCGCCATATCGTCCTTGCAAAATGGTAAGTGTCCACACAAAGAAATCTGCAAAACAAAAAAGACCACTTGTAGTTATACATAATATACAACCCTATTTCTGTTTTTATAAAATGTAAAACTATTGTCACTGCAGCTCATTAGAGTAACAAGAAAAATTTACCGTTTTTCTGTTGTCAAAAATCAATATTTCAGAAGAGCAGATACCAGAAGACATCAACGCCAGATCTTGTACGCCCACATCAAGCGGCCTAAGTCAAGAAAGCTTGACCTTAAAGAGAGGTGAGCTTGTAGAACTGCTGTTTGGGATCTGTACTCCTTTTTAATATTGTTTTTTTTTCCCCACCACACCACTTTTAAATAATTTAAATATTACAAATCCATTACCAGTATCTGTTCATGTTTGGTGCTTACTCAAATCCAGATGACAAAGGATAACATGACTGTAGAACCTACTTCATTGACATAATAAATATTGTTTCTGGGCTTTTATCGTTAACAAACTTGCATTAAGTCCTGCATATTT